AGCCAGGAGTGGTGGTGCACACCTGTAGTTTCCCCTACTTGGGAGGCTATGGCGGGAGGATCACTTAAACCCAGGAATTAGAGGCTGCAATAAGCTATGATCCTGCCACTGCACTCTAGCCTATGTGACACAGTGAGATCCTGTCTCAAAAAAAAATTGAATTTTTTAAAAGATAATGGATTCTGTTTTTTTTTTTTTTTTTTTTTTTTTGAGATGGAGTCTAGCTCTGTCGCCAAGCTGGAGTGCAGTGGTGCAATCTCAGCTCACTGCAACCTCCGCCTCCGTGGTTCAAGTGATTCTCCTGTCTCAGCCTCCCAAGTAGCTGGGATTACAGGCACACACTGCCAAGCCCAGCTAATTTTTTGTCTTTTTAGTAGAGACTGAGTTTCACCATGTCGACCAGAATGGTCTCCGTCTCCTGACCTCACATAATCCACCCATCTCGGCCTCCCAAAGTGCTGGGATTACAGGCATGAGCCCTGCACCAGGCCTTGGCTTCCCTTTAATACATCACCACTCAATTTGATGTGGAGGCTCTGTTCATTCCCAGAATATAATGAATGGATTATTTCACAACTCAATTCCTCTGTGCTATCTATCATTGTAATCAAGGGCCAGAGTCTTCCCTTGTGAAACAGAGATGGCTCCCCTGTGTTCTGCAGCAAGCTAGACCTAGGCTTAAATCCTGAAGAGTGCTAAGATTCCACTGCATGGTGCCATCCCAAGGTCCCTGTGATGCGTCTCAACTGGGGTCTTCTCCAAGCTCCGTGAACCCCAGCACTAGCACCCTGGCCACCAGTCCAAACTTAGTCTCAGAGCTCAGTAATTTGAGGAACCCTGAAGTCCATGACTTCTCACACCTCTGCCATCTTATTCTTCATTTTTTGTCTGTATTAAATTATTTAATCATAACGACTTTTGATATAGAAAACTATTGTTTTGTATGTCTTACAGATGAGGAAACATCTGTAGCATGCAATGTAGTATGCCTAGAATTCAAACTCCAAGTCTATTTCCTGGACCCAAGCTCTTAACTCCTGTGCTGTAAGCTAATAACACATGAAGAATTTTGATTATTTTCTTTAGCATTTACCACCAAATAACATAATATGTATTATACTTATTTATCTTGTTATGTCTGTGTCTCCCACTAGACTATAAGCTTCACAAGGGCAAAGATATTTGTTTTATTAACTGTATCAGCAGTTAAAATAGATCCCAACCATAGAGGAGGTACCCAGTACATATATATTTACACAATTTTATTTATTTATTTGAAAGAGTCTGTGCAGTGTCATGATCTCGGCTCACTGCAACCTCTGCCTCCTGGGTTCAAGTGATTCTCCTGCCTCAGCCTCCAGAGTAGCTGGGACTGCAGGCACATGCCACCACGCCCAGATTATTTTTGTATTTTCAGTAGCAGCAGGGTTTCACCATGTTGGCCAGGCTGGTCTTGAACTCCTGACCTCAGGTGATTTACCTGTCTCCCAAAGTGCTGGGATTATAGGCGTGAGCCACCAGGCTGGGCCCCAGTATATATATTTTGAATGAATAAATGAATGAATGGACACAAAAATTTTTAGCTATTAGAATCTTTGCACAAACAACAGGCCCACAGCAAATATCTTTTCCCAAATAAAAAGGAAGTCCTTAGCCGGGTGCGGTGGCTCACGCCTGTAATCCCAGCACTTTGGGAGGCCGAGGCAGGTGGATCACGAGGTCAAGAGATTGAGACCATCCTGGTCAACATGGTGAAACTCCGTCTCTACTAAAATTACAGAAAATTAGGTGAGCATGGTGGCGCATGCCTGTAATCCCAGCTACTCAGGAGGCTGAGGCAGGAGAATTGCCTGAACCCAGGAGGCGGAGGTTGCGGTGAGCCAAGATTGTGCCATTGCCCTCCAGCCTGGGTAACAAGAGCGAAACTCTGTCTCAAAAATAAAAAAAAAAAAAAAAAGAGGAAGTCCTCAGCCAGGCATGGTGGCTCACGCCTGTAACCCCAGCACTTTAGGAGGCCGAGGCGGGCAGATCATGAGGTAAAGAGATGGAGACCATCATGGCCAACATGGTGAAACCCCGTCTCTACTAAAAATACAAAAATTAACTGGGCGTGGTAATGCACGCCCGTCGTCCCACCTACTTGGGAGGCTGAAGCAGGATAACTGCTTGAACCCAGGAGGTGGAGGTTGCAGTGAGCCGAGATCACACCACTGCACTCCAGCCTGGCACCTGGCAATGGAGCAAGACTGTCTCAAAAAAAAAAAAAAAGGAAGTCCTCACCACAGATTATTTCACCACTCCAGAAACAAAAGACAAAAGCTTTTTTTTTTTTTTTTGAGACGGAGTCACTCTGTTGCGAGGGTGGAGTGCAATGGCGCAATCTTGGCTCACTGCAACCTCTACCTCCTGCGTTCAAGCAATTCTCCTGCCTCAGCCTCCCCAGTAGCTAGGACTACAGGCATGCACCACCACTATAGGCTAATTTTTTGTACTTTTTTTTTAGTAGAGATGGGGTTTCACCATGTTGGCCAGGATGGAATCTTGTGAGCCACCCACCTTGGCCTCCCAAGTGTTGGGATTACAGGCATGAGCCACCGCACCTGGCCAACCAAAACCTTTAAGAATGTTTTGTGGCAAAGCACAGTGGCTCACACCTATAATCCCAACACTTTGGGAGGCCAGCGTGGGAGTATGGCTTGAGGCCAGGAGTTATAAAGGAGCCTGGGCAACATAGTAAGACCCAATCTCTACAAAAAATAAAAATACAAAATTAGCCAGGCATGATGGCATACATTGTAGCCCTAGCTATTCAGGATGCTGAGGCAGAAGGATTGCTTGAGCTCAAGAGTTCAAGGCTACAGTGAGCTATGATCGCGCCACTGCACTCCAGCCTGGGCAACAGAGAAACACCGTGTCTCTAAAAAAAAAAACAAAACTGTGTTTTGCCCTCTGTTCTCTGAAGTCCTCCTGCTTTCCTGAGGATGTCAGCGTCCACGAGCACGAGCATGCAATTTGCCTGACTCACCATCCCACGTCTTCCTCAGCTCTGATGACCTTTGCTTCCACTCCCCTTAAGCCACCCCAGGAAAGGCTCTTGTGATCCTTTCAGATGGCTAGATTTCTGAAATCTTAAACTCCAATATTCTTTCTACTTGCCCTTCATGGCAGATGATATTTTCCAAGGTGGTTGCAAGAAGTTCTGCCATCTCATGTGCTCATTTTTTAAATTTTTAAATTTTTTATTTTTTATTTTTATTTTTATTCACTCTGTCACCCAGACTGGAGTGCAACAGTGTGATCTTGGCTGACTGCAACCTCTGTCTCCCGGGTTCAAGCAATTCTCCTGCCTCGGCCTTCCTAGTAGTTGACATTAAAGGTGCCCGCCACCACGCCTGGCTATTGAAAATTTGTATTTTCAATAGAGATGGAGTTTCACCAGGTTGGTCAGCCTGGTCTCAAACTCTTGACTTCAAGTGATCCGCCTGCCTCAGCCTCCCAAAGTTCTGGAATGACAGACATGAGCCACCACGCCCAGCCTAATTTTTAAATTTTATAAATAGGTAACAATAGGCCTGGGGCGGTGGCTCACGCCTGTAATCCCAGCACTTTGGGAAGCCAAGGCAGGTGAATCATTAGGTCAGGTGATCGAGACCATCCTGGCCAACATGGTGAAACCCTGTCTCTACTAAAAATACAAAAAAAAAAAAAAAAAAAAATTAGTAGGGCGTGGTGGCGGGTACCTGTAATCCCAGGTACTTGGGAGGCTAAGGCAGGAGAATTGCTTGAACCAGGGAGTCGGAGGTTGCAGCGAGCCAAAATATCACACCACTGCATTCTAGCCTAGCAACAGAGTGGGACTTTGTCTCAGAAAAATAAAAATAAAAAAAGGGAACAATAGACACTGTAGACTACTGGATGGGGAAGTGGGGAAAGGGGCGTACGTAGGTTGAAAAACTACCTTTCAGGTGCTATGCTCACTACCTGGGTGCAAAATACCCTTGTAACAAATTGCATATGTACCCCCTCTATCCAACACAAAAGTTGGGAGCTAGTGTAATGGCTCATGCCTGTAATCCCAGCACTCTGGGAGGCCCAGGTGGGAGGATCACTTGAGCTCAGGAGTTCAAGACTAGCCTGGGCAACGTGGTGACACCCTGTCTCTACAAAAAATACAAAAATCAGCCAGGCATGGTGGACTGCACCTGTAATCCCAGGTGGGACTGAGGAGGGTGAGGTGAAAATTGCTTGAGCCCAGGAAAGCAAGGCTGCAATGAGCTGTAATGACACCACTGCACTCCAGCTTGGGCAACAGAAAAAATCCCTTCTGAAAAACAGAACAAAATAAAACAAAAAACTCACTAACTCTGAACTCCAATTAAGCAAAATATGCCTAAACAAAAAAAGTCCATTCTTCTCATCAGTAGTATCAGTAGCGTTATTATATAATGACATCATTATCTTTTCTTTTTTTTGAGATGGAGTCTCACTCTGTTACCTAGGCTGGAGTGCAGTGGTTTGATCTCAGCCTACTGCCGTCTCCGCCTTCTGAGTTCAAGCGATTCTCCTGCCTCAGCCTCCCGAGTAGCTGGGATTACAGGCGACCATCACCACACCCAGCTAATTTTTGTATGTTTATTGGAGACGGGAATTCACCATGTTGGCCAGGCTAGTCTGGAACTCCTGACCTCAGGTGATTCTCAGCCTGGGCCTCAGAAAGTGCTAGGATTACAGGCGTGAGCCACCGCGCCCGGCCGATATCATGATCATTATATTTTGAGTTTCGTCAATGTGAAATTGATGGGAAGAAGGGGTGGTTCCAGCACTGAGAGCAGGCTTGTACTGTCATCATGGAGACGGACGGTCCAACGCTTCTGATTGGCAGGGACCACGGGATGGGTCCTCGGCCCGCCCCCATCGGCCCTCTCCGACCGGGTGGTTCTGGGAGGGCTGGAGGCCAAGGCCGCGGCCCCTGGGGTCTGCACAGCACAGGTGGAAAGCAGGCGGGGGGAGCTGGTGGGAGTCAGGAGCCCCAGCGATGAGGAGCACGGGCGGACGCAGCCGGCGCATGCGTACTGGGGGTCCGAGGCCAGCACCGCGCGCCGCCATTGCGGGGAGGCTGGAGTCAGAGCGGATCTGGCGCGCCCGAGGCTGGACCGGCCCCAGCAGCCCAGTCACCCGGCGTCATCCGCTTAGGCGGCGGGGCCGTCGGCACCCTCTCCCGCCCAGGTCCACACTGGTGGCGGCGGCGGCGGGGGGCGGAGCCTGCGGAGCGCCCTTTGTCTGCAAAGGTAAGTGCGCTCTGGGAAGAGGAGGAGGCGGGAGGAGGCGGGAGGAGGCGGGCGGCGGGGGAGGGGCGGCAGCTGTCCCTTTTCCTGTCACCCGCCCCGTGTACCTTTCTGAGTTTTGGTCTTTTATAGGAAGGTCTTCCCCGTCCCAGTACTATAAACACATTGTCCACTACTATCTGCGAATGACTCTAAGGCTGAAAAAAAATCTGCAATTTATTTTTGGGCAGGCGTCCATACGTATCATTTTGGGGTCTTAGCATTATGCAAACGTTGCCTTTATTTTCTTCTAAGACATTTAAATAATTTGAAGAATATTTTTCTTTTTCCCCTTTTTATCTGTATTTCATTGGGTATGATATTTGTGGTAAGGAGTTAGGTAGAGATTTGCCGTTTTCTCTCATTATCTTGACTCCGTTGAGTCACTTTTCCACGGAATTGCAGTGACAGTTTAATTACATTTTGCAGGCGTGTATATACTCATAGGTGTTTCTGTTTATTGATGTTTTTGTTTTGAGACAGGATCTCACTTGGTCACAGGCTGCAGTGTAGTGGTGCAATCATGGCTCACTGCAGCCTCGAACGCCTGGGCTCAAGAGCTCTTCCTGCCTCAGCCTCCCTAGTAGCTGGGACCACAGGTGCGCACCACCACGTCCGGCTTTTTGTTGTTGTTGTTCAGAGACTGGGTCTCACCATCTTGCCCAGGCTGGTCTTGAACTCCTGAGCGCAAGTAATCCTCCCGCCTTGGCCACTCAAAGTGCTGGGATTAAAGGCCTGAGCCAAGGCGTTCTCCCGGATGTTTCTAGATTCTTTCCTTTTACTGCCCTGATAGTTTCTGCACTAATTATATGTGTATTTATTTATTTTAAAATGTTTAGGCCAGTTGTGGTGACTCACACCTGTAATTGCAGCACTGGGAGGCAGAGGCAGGAGGATCACTTGAGCTCATGAGTTGGAGACCAGCCTGGGCAGCATGGCAAGACCCCGTCGCTACAAAAACACTAGAAAAATTAGCTGTGCTTGGTGCTGTGTGCCTGTAGTTCCCAGCTACTCGGGGGACTGGGTGGGAGAATGGCTTGGGCCCAGGAGATGGAGGTGGCAGTGAGCCAGAATCATGCCACTGTACTCTATCCTGGGTGATAGAATTAGACCTTGTCTCAAAATGTAAAATAAATGTTTTAAGCAAATTTCCTTTAATTATGCCCTTTCACAGAATGATCTTTTTCTTTTCTTTTTTTTTTTTCCCGGAGTTTTGCTCTTGTTGCCCAAGCTAGAGTGCAATGGCGCGATCTCTGCTCACTGCAACCTCTGCCTCCTGGGTTCAAGCGATTTTCCTGTCTCAGCCTCCCGAGTAGCTGGGATTGCAGGCACATGCCACTATGCCTGACTAATTTTTGTACTTTTAGTAGAGATGGGGTTTCATCATGTTGGTCAGGTTGGTCTTGAACTCCTGACTTCAGATGATCTGCCCGCCTTGGCCTCCCAAAGTGCTGGGATTACAGATGTGAGCCACCATGCCTGGCCTGATCTATTTCTTTTAACTTGAATTGTGAGACATTTAAAAGATACAGAATGGTTAGGAAAAAAAAAAAAAAACATAATTTTCTAAAAGGTAGATTGTAGCACTTAATAGGTTGTAGCAATTAATAGGTTCTAACTAGATAGTCATTCAGCAATGAATGTTGCTTGAAAGTCACTCTGTTGCTGAAAACTTGCATGTGGTTCCCTGCTGCCATCAGGAAAATGTTCTACTTCCTTAGCGATGCCCTCACAGCCCTTTATGATCTTGATATTGTGTCTGGCTTTGCTTTACACTCTTGCACTTTGTTTTTCTTTTTTTTCCCTGCCAAAAAAGCAGTTTAATTTGTTGGAGTTCAGATTTGTATGTGAATTTCATTAGGAAAGAGGACTATATAAATCTGTATAAGTTATAGTTCTTATAATATGTTGGTGTCGCTGGGCGCGGTGGCTCACGCCTATAATCCCAGAACTTTGGGAGGCCAAGGCTGGTGGATCACGAGGTCAAGAGATCGAGACTATCCTGGTCAATATCCTGGTCAACATGCTGAAACCCCGTCTCTACTAAAAATACAAAAAAATTAGCAGAACATGGTGGTGAGTGCCTGTAGTCCCAGCTACTCAGGAGGCAGAGGCAGGAGAATTGCTTGAACCGAGGAGGCGGAGGTTGCAGTGAGCCGAGATCGCACCATTGCACTCCAGCCTGGGTAACAAGAGTGAACCATCTCAAAAACATGTGTGTGTGTGTGTGTGTGTGTGTGTGTGTGTGTGTTGGTGTCATTTTCAACTGATGTCAACTGTGAAGACCATGCTTTTAATTTTACCTTAGAGTATGCATCTTTGGTAACTGTCTTAGCCTGCTCAGTCTGCTATACAATACTGCAGACTGGCTGTAAACAACGGAAATGTGTTTTGTCACAGTTTTAGAGGTGGGAAGCTCAAAATCAAAGTGCCTGCCCTGTTGGTTTCTGGTAACCTCTCTTCTTGACCTGCAGATAGCTGGCTTCTCTCTGTGTCCTCTTCTGTTGGCCTTTCCATTGTGTGCATGCACTCTTGGTGTCTCTCCCTCTTTTTGTGAGGATACTACTGCTATTGGATTAAGACCCCACCTTTATTACCTTATTTAACTTTAATTACAGGCCAGGCAGATCACCTGAGGTCAGGAGTTCAAGACCAACTTGGCCAACATGGCAAAACCCCATCTGTATTAAAAATACAAAAACTAGCCAGGGGTGGTGGTGGGCTGCTGTAATTCCAGCTACTTGGGAAGGTGAGGCAGGAGAATTGCTTGAGGTTCTAGTTAGCAGAGATCACACTATTGCACTCCAGCCTGGGCAACAGAGTAAGACTGCCTCAACAACAACAAAAAAAATTACAGTCTTGGGCCGGGCGCGGTGGCTCAAGCCTGTAATCCCAGCACTTTGGAAGGCCGAGGCGGGTGGATCACGAGGTCAAGAGATCGAGACCATCCTGGTCAACACGGTGAAACCCTGTCTCTACTAAAAACTACAAAAAATGAGCTGGGCATGGTGCCGCGTGTCTGTAGTCCCAGCTACTCGGGAGGCTGAGGCAGGAGAATTGCCTGAACCCAGGAGGCGGAGGTTGCGGTGAGCCGAGATTGCACTCCAGCCTGGGCAGTAAGAGCCAAACTCCGTCTCAAAAAAAAAAAAAAAGGAGCTGAAAGGCCCTCATATTTTGCTGTACATATTCCCATGTTTTTCCCTTGTGAGCTTATGTTAAAAAATATGTGGAACTTGAGTTAAAAATATGACTTAATGTGTTTAACTTATATAAAGAATAGAAAGAACAAAACCTTGACACACAATTAGGACCTCTCCACAGAGGAAAAAACAAATTTTACAATGCAGAAATTTTACAAAATAGCTACTTTAAAAAGCAGCAAAAATAAAAGAAGATGGTGGAATGGAGAGAGAGAGAGAGAGAGAGAGAGAGAGTGTGTGTGTGTGTGTGTGTGTGTGTTACGACAAGGGAGTTGCTGTTTACTGCCTATTTTCTTGGGTCCCCGAGACCACCCCCGCTCCCCGGGTTCAGTGATTTGCTAGAACTCCTAGAATTCAGCAAGTACTGTGTAGCACTTTGGAAGGCCAAAGTTGGTGGATCACCTGAGGTCAGATCAAGACCAGTCTGGCCAAGATGGCAAAACTCCATCTCTACTAAAAATACAAAAATTAGCTGGCCATGGTGGCAGCTGCCTATAATCCCAGCCACTTGGGAGGCTGAGGCATGAGAATCACTTGAACCTGGGAGGTGGAAGTTGCATTGAGCTGAGATCAGGCCACTGCACTCCAGCCTGTGCGACAGCGTGAGATTCTGTCTCAAAAAAAAAAAAAAAAAAAGTCAGCAACAGTCTTCAGGTCTAGATTCTAGATCTGAAAAAGAAAAAAAAAATCAGCAACAGGAAAAAAAAACACATAGAGCAAGGTGCAAGGTCCAGGAGAGACCAGGTGCAAGCTTCCCTTTGTCCTCTCTTTCCATGGAATTTTACAGGTAACATTTAAATCTCCCAGGAATGATGTATGAGAGATTTGTGTTCGTGCCGTTTGGAACCAGGGCAGATCACTCAAGCTTGGTGTTCAGGGTTTTAATTGGGGGCTGGTGTAGGGGTGATCCCCTTTCTCCCTATCGTAAGTGTCATGACAGAAAACTCTATAACAAAAGACAGGTTAACAAGAGGAAAGCATAACAAATGTATTTGATCATAGTTTTATAATTTCCCCTTTGCTCTCTGAAGGTTCACTGCAAAGCATTAACAAAAAAAAGAAAAAAGAAAAAAAAAGGCAGAGTAATAGGAGACAAGGCATACAAATTTATTTGATCATAGTTTTATGTGACATGGGAGGCTTCAGAATGAAGACCCAATGATACAGGGAAAACTATCCAGTTTATGTTTAGGTATGGACAGCCGTTTAGAAATACGACTGGACAAAAGGGTATGATCTCATGCTATAGATTGAATGGGAAAATGCAGCCAGGCCTGTTTGTTCAGACTCTCCTTGTTCTCTTTGGGAAGCATTCCTTCCTGCCCAGTATGGGGTAGGACCACTCTGGAATGGGGGTTTTATGACCTACAATGAAACGAATTTATTTATTTATTTATTTATTGAGGGAGTTTCCCTATTGTCACCCAGGCTGGAGTATAATAGTGCAATCTCAGCCCATTGCAACCTCCGCCTCCCAGGTTCAAGCAATTCTCTGTCTCAGCCTCCCAAGTAGCTTGGATTATAGGCCTCCGCCACCACACCTGGCTAATTTTTGTATTTTTAATAGAGACAGTGTTTTACCATGTTGGCCAGCTGGTCTCAAACTCCTGACCTCAGATGATCCGCTCGCCTTGGCTTCCCAAAGTGCTGGGATTACAGGTGTGAGCCACCGCGCCTGGCCAAGGTCAAATAATTTATGGCCAGTTCTTACACAGAAAGCAGGGAATTCGGGTGATATTTTTAGGTTTTATGACTGCCTTTGAA